TTTTTGTGTGGAGTACCACGCCCCGGCAACTTCTAGCTCCCGTTTTGTTCTCGCGTGAACAAGTATTTGAACACTGCCCCAATTGAACTTGTGTCCTTCTCTGTCTTCGTGAATTGAGACAAGTGACATTGGGTCATGTCTTCTGCTGACAAGCTTGTATTCGTGTATTCTGTTAGCAAATTTTCTTCACGTTTGGCCAACATGGTGTTTGTCGCAGTCGCTGCACTTAGGTTTGTAGACCACGTTAGTCTTCTTCAATGAATCCAAACTTCCCCGTGGTTTCGAGAGAGTTCTTCTCAACGTGTTTGCAGGCTTGAATGCAACTGTAATTCCATGTTGCCGCCGACGTCGTGCAGTCATCTCCGGCACATTTCTGATATACGGCAGCGTAATCTTCCTCTGTTCTGGTTGTGTTGACGAACCAGCTTGGTGATGATCTCGTAAGCACCTCCATTTGAAATTCCTCGGATAGCCGTTATTTCGAAATGTCTCGTAGAGTCTTCGTTCTCTTTTCTTCGCCTCTGTTGAGTTGCAATGTCTCTATCCGCTTGAACAGGGGTTGAACACAGCTCCGCTTGTGACAGTTCGGACGGTTGATGTGGTAATTCAGAATCTGGTGTGCATGCGTTTCTTTCCTGTATACTTCAAATGCATTTGGTCGTTTGTTGTCCTTGTGACGAGCACATCTAGGGACGCCCATTTGTTGTTATCCTCCGTTTACATTGTGAGGTAGATGTCGGAAAACGCTGTTTAGAAGCTATGTAATCACAGGCAGAAGAGGAGGGATTCACCCACTGAACCCTGCACTGACGATGTCACCTCGGTTGGTGATGAAACGTTTGCAATCCAACTGCCAAGCTTGACGAACAGACCAACAACCAGACAGCTCACCCGAGCTACCTACATTCCACAACATTGCTAATCAGATCTCTGCTTGATGCCGGACCGGCAAGCGTCCCTATCTTTTCGTCACTCTTGCCCGAGATGGACTTCTCGAGCGTAGCAGCACATGCCTCCTAGGGGTTAAGTGTTATCCGCGTGGAATTCCTCCTAAGGAGCCCGTTCTTGACCTCGGTTAGGTCTGTGGCGTTTTGTACATTTATTTTATTTCCATTATAACACTACGTATTTTATCAATTGCATAATCGTTCTTTGTTTGAATACGAAAAACTACAAAAACGCGCACTTGTACAATTTCACAGAATACAAGCGTGGTCACGTGCTTCGACTCTCTCTTCTGATTTCGCTCGCGCTCGCAGCGGTCATTCGCTAGTCTCATGTACTAACTCCGGTACCAAAACATTTCAGACATCTTCGGAACCTATTATATGTGGGAACTGTTCAGAAGAAGACCTCTGGACCAACATAACTGGATTATTGTTTATTCGCTGACCTGGGCCAACGACGAATTATTTTAAAGAGAACAACTGTTAGTGAGTCTGTTCCGTCTGGTCTCTTTATTTTTACCCACCCAACCTGGCGTAATCATTTTTATTTCTTTGCCACACACTCCTGGTAAACTAACTTATTGGGTGACCAAACCACTACAGTTCAGCACTCCACACTCCTGGTAAACTAACTTATTGGGTGACCAAACCACTACAGGTCATTCAGCACTCTTCTTCCGAGCGACTAGATTTATCGCGGCACTCTGCAGTTTTTGAATCCGAAGCTTTTTACGTCCACCCTCAGTAGTTTGATTACTCTCAGTCTTGGTACCATGTTTTCATGCCCCTCCTAACAAAAGTGTGAATAGTCACCTTCAAAGGCAATGACATCGAAGTCGACATTGATGCCCTACTACCGATGATGAAACCTCCCTTTTTGAGCAGAGTTCCATTAGCCTCGAACACATTCATTACACTGGGTCCCAGTCAAAAGAGGTTCGCTTCGATTCGATTCAACTCAATGGATCGGTTATAACCATGTCCATGGGTACATTGTGTCTAGCCGCTTCATCTCGATCACCGCAAATTGAGAAGCGATGACATTTTCAGATAGAACGAGAATAAAGTAACTCTTCATTGAGGGTGATAGCTTTCCTGCAACTGGTTGCAACATTTCTGTCAGCGCCATTGATCCCGGTGAATTAAGTTCCCAGGTCTTCATCCAGGGAGGCAGCAGCTGTCGCCCCAACTCAGCCTACTGATTATCGTTTTCATGCTTCGCTGCTAAGCCACACACTATCAATCACTCGTTAGCCCTCACTCAGCGCGGGGCTGGGAGGAAAGATATGTGCAGGGTTGACGGTCTTCTGTCACGCAGAGTACAAGTCCTACCCAACACAACCCGCGAAACGTGAGTAATTCATCTACTGCGAGAGATTTTCTTCTTTTTAAAGCTATCCAGGGTACCTAAGCATTTCTAATACAATGATCTCACCAGACCTGAGCAATTTTTCGGAGACACCGATAATCAGACACTAACATCTGTCGTACATCCTCTCCACGTAGGCGCCACGTCTCTGATTCACGAGGCAGTATGGATCGTACCACCGAAATGTAGACTCTGCTCTCAACGGGCAAACGGATGCCACTTAGGCTCCATCGCTCAGCTTCAATAACATTTTTGCGCCTAGCTGCCACGTCACTCAGAGGAGGCATGAGTGCTGAGATATTGCGAGATTGTCAAAGCCGAGACAGGGTGAGGTGAGAGGCGGAGAGCGGGTTTGAACCGCTGACCACTTAGTCAGCATATTCACGCTCTGAACACTGATCCATCCCGCTTCCATAGGTTTGCAAGACCTGTCCAGACCTTTCCGATTCAAGACTTAATCTCGTCTCCATTCAGTACACATCAGGGGTCGACAAATTTATTTACAATGTCGATTGGCACACCTGTGAGCATGATCTTTGGATTTGACCCGACGCAGGCTTGTGGCAGCATTTTAAAGTTTGCTGGTACGAAGCGTATACAAAACCGTGAGGCAGAATCACTTAGGTTCGGTAAAATGAATCTGAGTTTGGGAGGGCAAAAGCATTCGGATAATCAATGCCCGTAAACAAACGGCTAGGAAGCACTTTGACTCCAGAAGCTTCAGAGACAGGCAGAGAAATTTCAAGCAGCACATGAATAACAAATTTCAAGAGGAAAGGCAAAAGTGCGCAACGTTGTCGTGCACAGGTGAACATGAACTCATGCCTAATCATCCCGTAAACTCGTACGCCTCCAAGGAAGTTCACAGAAAATTCACCCCTGGGATATATGAACTTGGATGGAACACCTTTGATTTCCGGACCTCGAGAAGTTTCTAACGATTGCCAAAATCAAAATAAGCTTTCAGACCGAGAAAATCGACCGGAGTGGGACGTTTGAAACATTAGTGCTGTTCAATAACATGTCTCGTCTTTAAGATACGATCGATGCATCCTAGACCTACGCAAAAATAGCCTGGCTACCACAAATCTGCCCTTCTCAGTAGTCAAGAACCTGCGCAGAATAGTGCCAGAGATCACTTTATATGCAAACTATACCATGCTGATTCCGCAATGGTTTTTATGTGACGTGCTTAAGCCCTTTTCGTATTTTTCGTTCCCACGCTGGGATTGCAAAAAGCCTCCTGTTTAGCGCCACTTTTATTAAATAACTTTGCTGCCTGTAGACCTGATCTGAATACCTACAGGGTAGTTTCAAGCAGGTTTTGAGAGAGTACTTGGCCTAGAATCATGGATCACTTACAATTTATGGCAGCATTGCCATCTTTTGTGTACTTTCTGCAACACTGCAAGCACAATTCGTACGTCGAAGACATTACCCTCTTTCAGCTTCGCACGGGTGGTTGGAGGCCACTGATTCTTTCAAGATTATTACTCTAAGTGGCTACGGTATATCCTCGCCGTATTCATTATCACCCCAACGGCCGTTCAGCACTGCCGCCCAGACGCGCTCCAGCCGGAGCATTGTGTAACCGCGTTTTTTGGGGAAACCAGACTTTTGCATTTGCCGCGCCGATAAAAAGAGTTTTATGGTTTTTTTTCAATTTTTTCAGCAAGCCACTTTCACTCAACGGTAATCTTGGAGGAGAACAACACTTTTTAATGAACCATCTTTCCCGAGTTATGGTGGCAGACTATTTAGCGGTCCCGCTAGCAACCCTTGAATGAATGAGTTGTTTGCTTTGCTTCTGCCTTCGGGTTGGATAAACTTTTACAGAAATTAATTCCGGCGATTTTTGGTTCAAAAGCCTTAGGCCTTTTTTGTGCACTTGGAATGTCGCTGAAAACGGATATAGAATACCGGGAGTGATGCTGTTAATTTGCATCAATTAAGCACTATTGCTTAAAGATGCAGGACCGGAGTTTGGCGAATATGTGCCACTGTCGACGGTCAGACGTCGGGCAGCTTACTGGGCATGTACGACTCCGAAGTAGAAGGGTATCGTGTACGAGGCGATCTTCAGAGGCATCCAGATTACGGCGCCAAGCAACAAATTGGAGGTGAGTCTGATACTCCACATACACATTTAAAACTGTTCATTTTCACGTATTACATAGATCCACTTCGGCCTAACAAGTTTTGGCTTAGTTTCCGCAATAAAAAACGTGATTTGATGACGTGGATTGAAGCCCGTTATGATTCATTTGGGTAGCGAATTTTCAGGCATTGTACGTCAACACATACAAATTCCTGCCCCGTACGACAATGAGGTATCATATTCGTTTTTTCCTTGATGGAATTGCACGACCACATGTCAGGTACCAAAACAACGGCCTGCCGAAATACAGCAATTTTCAGCCAGACGATTTACATGAGCCAATTTTCATTGTGCTTCGGGAGTGCGCGGTTAGCATCCAAAGCACATATATCGGCCTTAAGGTTTCCTACTGTTGTACAGTAGGAAAAATTATACCTCATGCAGTTTGTTCAAGTGGTGTTCCTTAGATATCCTGACATGGTTGAAGGTTGCGGGCTATTATTCTGACCGGTACAACACGCAGGCACGACCACTAAGTATGTGCGGTGAGTGTTTCTGAGACGGGCTTAGTTTTGTCTGTCTATTTTGAAATCAGACGACGTCGTCCAGAACATACGTAGACGAGAATTGAGTAAATTATTGAGAATTTAACCGATCGCACTTACTCCGTCATGAATATCCGGACTTCAGAAGCTTTACGGTTTGCGACCGGTGAAGATCAACCACGTACTCGTTTCCTTGGCTAAATCCTGACAATAAGGGAGGCCAGCTAACATGATGTTTTGACGACCGGAGGAAATATTTATGGCGCATTATACTATACTGCCGGGCGGGCGTCCACACAAAGCTTCACCATGAAGCTACTAAGCTTCATGAAAGCAGTAATACCCTGGTGTTGTAGCCGGTTCCGCAGACGACAGCAAATTTATTTGGCGGGCATTATGGGCCACATGGGATGCTAGGCGCTTTGGTAGACCGCGACCAGGTTTGTAGGTAACTGGTCTCTAACTGTGGTGACCGGGAGTCAAAACGAGCAATCAAATATCGGTATGCTAACATCTGCCACTGCACACTTGGGTGGTTTATGAAGATTGCGACATGGAATACCTCCACAGAAAATATTGCTCGTTGCTGTGGGCGGTTGCAGCAGCATGGCGGGGTCTGCCATGTTTGGCCCATGATTTTACTTGACGCATGATATGAATCACACCGAATATTTTTCATGTAGCGGTAGGAGGGCCGGTTTATGAATGAAAGTGACACGCGCAAGCAGCATACTGAATTTTGTTTTTCCCGGTCGCAGCAGGCGGGAACGTTTCACATTTTCACCTGCGTGCTCGGTTTGAACGAACTAAAGGGACCGACAAATAGGGGTAGACCTCTGCCAGGAAGCCCATCGCGCAGCGTAAAGTCTTGTTATTTTCCGGCCAGAGTCCGAATAGGAAACGACCAAGTGATAATCTAATTTTCCACAGTAAGGCATTCATCTGCGTAAAGCCGCCTTCCAACTGTTTTGCATAATGAACAGGATCAAATGCCTGCAAAACCATCCATTATGGCCAAAAGGGTGCTCTAGATGAGGGTCGAGAAAATTACTTCTAAATGAGCACTACTTTTATGCGAAAGGCAAGGAATCGCGTAGGTGTATGTCTGCAAATTTTGTTTGAGAGTTGACGAAATCATCAAGAGGCTGCGTCGACTTCCATTGGGACGGCTCATAACGAAGGATGTGTAGTATAACTTAGAAAGGCAACAACCCATAACATCGAGCCGAACGTTGTGATGTTACAATGCACAGACACAGAACTCCCCAAGGACACCGCCATCAACCATCATTCTGGCCGCTCGTTACAAAAGCTCACCAGTAGTCCTTTAGACAGGTACCCGTTAAAACATGAGATAACCCGCTACAAAATACACTTCCAAACTCCTCCCCATAACTGCAGTAGATAAGCTCAACAAACCGTGGGACGACCGTGTGGAGGAGCAAAATATCCGTGCTCATTTGAAAACTGACGCGTGTGATTGTGTAGAACGAAACAAATGGCAAGACATCTTTTAAATACCAAATAAGTTTTGGCAGAAAAGAACGCACTCAAAGTACGCCTCAAAGCGCAATACGGAGACATGGCTCAAGTTTGAATAGGCCCTGTGATGTAGAGGAAACCCTATTAAAGGTGGGCAACCTGAAACTTCTAACCACCACGTCGATCCAGGTTGGCCTCCTGAGTACTTCCATAATCCTTTTTGGGCGATTTTATTTACCGGTTATTCAAGCCGTCTAGCGGCCAACCATCAAAAGGGAAGACCTGTGCTCAAGCCTTTGCTCGCAAGCAGAGATTGATACACCCAGATGATGACTGATAGGATCAAAAGTCAGGTCCAAACCACGCCAATTTTCGGCTGCTCGGAAACAGCCTCAGCACTGGCCATCTAAATGATTGCACGGTTTTGTTTCGAAACATGGTGGAGCTGTGCGGTGGGAACTTCAATAACTCTAGAGACATTTAGAAAGAACTACATGCTCGTGCTGCAATCGTCTTTTGTTTCGGCCTTAAGCTGTCACGACGTCTTACTTATAAGGATCAACAAATTTCCACTTCAGCAATCATTATGGCTTCAATCTCGGCTGACCTCTATAAAGTTCCTTCTTCCTTGGCATTTTTTGGCTTTACTAAACCTCTCTTAGATAAAAACCCACATGGAACCCACTCTCCTCATATCACGAGACCCATTAGATTTCAAGTTCATCCCTATTTTTCCAGTAATTTTCCAGCATCGGACCTCAATTACATCCTGGTGAACTGGTTGCCGTTTTCCACACGAATTAGCTGATTCTCTCTTGACTAAACCATTCTCAACTAACCTGTGTTTGTTTGCGGAGAACCTGCTTTGGGCCGAACCCCTGGAAAAATCCTTTTGATGTCTGAGGACAGGTTTCAAACAGAGGTGTGGCGTTTCTTGGAATCATCGAGTAACCCCATAGACATCTTAAAACACTAGTGTTTGTCAATTTGCTTCGGCGCACATTCTAGTTTGACCATTATTCATCTACCACCCAAACTGAACGCAACCATATCCTTCTCCGCGTTGACCGGTTCTCAGTGGTGGCTCATTCAAACAAGGGGCCCATAGCAGTCCACGCGTTTCCTGCTACAACGCAGAAGTTCAGAGGAGAATACACAAGGAACTGGCCTAATATGCCAAAGGTGCTTTAATTGTCTTGTTTTGCACCAGGCTGATTTCGCACATTTTTGACCCATAGTTTAATCCAGTGACAAAAAATAACGGTACTGATGGCTAGTGGTTTTCTCGCAACTATGAAATGGGAAAATATTTAGCACAATATTTCAGCCACTTATCCGCCTTACTTCAACCCAGTCTGATGCAATTTATCGGGCTCAGACGGTGCCCATCAGCTGCACGATGCTCTCAGGCGCAAAATAACCACGTATGGAGTAAGACTTTTGCGTCAAAATGTTGCACTTTGCTACGTATGCACTCAAACGAAAAATCACTCTAGCCTTTGTACACATTTTCACAGCTCACCAAATTACATCGTCCACTGAAGCGACCATACCCTTGACGGAAAAGTCTTGTGGAATAATTTCTCAGCAATGCTTAGACCCCGGGATGCCCAGCTGGGGCTCAAAAGTTTGGATTGGTACTCTAAACTCAATAGTCCGATGGCTTTAATCCATCAAGGGTACGCCATAGCTGACAAAAATTCAATTCCATTATGCGAATACTGAGTGTCGGCCCAGATTGTTCGTCATTACTGGAATGGCAACAAGTTATTCGGCTGATTGGAACAAATCGCAAAAGACGGCTGGCAAAATATTAGTTATCGCAAATTAGATTTTCACATGCTGCGGTGGAGTGAACTTTGCCTCGATCTGCTCATTCCCGTTAACAATTGCTCAAACGCAGGTGAGCAGGCAGAACGCGTCAGTTAGTTTCCAGGAGGAACTGTATGCCAAAACTAAGAACGCTGAATCTGCGTCAGTTACCTCATGATATTCCGTGAACGAATAAGTAGGCTCACAGGTATAAGCAACGCTACGTTTCAACTGTTGTGATGACGGACTTGCCATTTCACCTATCCTACAACTGATTGACCGGGTGTTGCGCATTTCAGCACAGGACATTAGCCAGGCCTGTTCCATAGTTTCTACGGATGCAGCCACATGTATGCATATAGCCATATATATATATATATATATGATCAGCTTAAAACATCAACAAATCAAAAGGCGGCTTTCTTTTGCCTCCCGATTGGTATAGGTCACGTGGATACTGTCTTCTAAAACTAGCTATCATGTTGGCAGTGTGACGACGTACGACCGGCAGACAAACTGTGAGTACTTAAGGAGGGCAACTAGTGCGGGCACTGCTGGTCCATTAAAATTGTGCGCCTACCTACAAACACAACGTCA